GTAGAAGGTCTACAACCCATCAGCAGGACCGCTATCTGCTCCTTTGTGCAAGAAATGACCTCCAGCAGGCCACTGGTGTGAATGTCTCTGACCAAACAATCAGAAACAGACTTCACGAGGGTGGCCTGAGGGCCCCATGTCCTCTAGTGTGTCTTGTGCTCACTGCCCGGCACTGTGGAGCTCGACTGGCATTTGCCACAGAACACCGGAATTGGCAAGTCTGCCACTGGTGCACTGTGCTTTTTACCTGAGAGCAGGTTCACCCTGAGCACATGTGACAGACGTGAAAGGGTCTGGAGAAGCCGTGGAGAACGTTCTGCTGCCTGTAACATGATCGGTTTGGTGGTGGGTCAGCGATGGTGTAGGGGGGCATATCCATGGAGGGATGCACAGAGGCTTGGTCTACTTTTCCTTAGTAAGACCTACAACCTCCGTCTCAAAAAAGACTCACCCTCAGTCTATTTAAGGCCTACTTTTTCAAAACTCGGTCTTAAAAAAGACTTATCCTCGGTCTAAAAAAGACTTACCTTCAGCCTATTTAAGGCCTACTTTTTCAAATCTCAGTCTTTAAAAAAGACTTACCCTCGGCCTAAAAAAGACTTACCCTCGGTCTAAAAAAGATTTACCCTCGGTCTAAAATAGACTTACCCTCAGCCTATTTAAGGCCTACTTTTTCAGTCTTTTGACTGCCTGTTTGTTATAACAATATTTTAGTTTTTTTTTACCTTTAAAAGAGTTTGTTAGTTTTCTTCCTCTCTCAGTCTCCTGAAATTATTGTCCTCCTGTCGAGATTGATCTACTCGGTGCATCAAAGAGTCCTCCTTCTCTTAAATGGCCTATTTGAGGTAGAGGAAAAACCCATATCGTTTTGGTGCTCAGCCCTTCTTCTAGAATCCACTGAGCGGACGGAACAGCGAAGGATCCTGTTCGTGACGCCAAATTGTGGGGTAAAAATGAGCACTGAGAGTTGATATGCAAGGAAGAAAATGTTTTATTTTACTCTGCAGAGGAGAACTACACGAAACAGCTGCGTACAGCTCCCAGTGTGGCTCTGACTAGGTCACTGCCCACCCTTGCATTATAAAGTGACATTGAGTCTTCCCAACAGAAACACTTTAGTTCATATAAGGACATAAATTTGATCAGATAAACATTTCAGGCAACTGTTTCCCGTTCACACCAAAAACAGGACGTGAGAATCTTGAACACAATAAGGACATGTTTATCTATGTTTCCCCCTTATCTAACCTGGGGAGGAAACTTCTTTTCAACCCTCCTTCCTTTCCCTGCATCTCAGCATAAAGAATGGAACAAAGCCTCTAAACAATCACCCCTATTCAGGAGGAGAAAAAAGGCACACTTTAATATTTAACCTTACTAACAGCCAAGGAAAAAATATGGTTCCACACAGAAAATGGATGGATGTAACTTTAAATGTGATTAACAATTTATTTTGAACAATTCTAAGCATACGAAATGAATAGGAATGTCCTTACCTCTAGGACATGTGATTAAATCATTGTATAACAATAATGTGAGCTTAATGAAGGCAATTACCAGCATATCTCAGATTTGTAAATACTGCAATGAAAGTAAATACTGCAATGAAAGAATAAATATTTCCCTTTCCTCAAACTACTCCTCTTTTTACTCTGATTCTAGCACCTGTTATGAAATCATCTCCTCATAAAGCCTAACTATCCTAACTCTGCTGGCCTAAACTAAAGAAAAACACATTTTTTAATTATTTATCTATTTATTATATTTCCAGAAAATGGATAGGCTGCAGCTGTCTGATCTACTTTCTTAGTTCTAGTGAGGACGCAGGCAGCAGCATCTGGATCAGCTGTCTGATC